CGCGCTCTGAAGCTGATTTTTGAAAAAGAGAGACACTCTATATATATATATATATATATATATATATATATATGAGCGGTGGGTCGGACGTGACTGTCGGTCCTCGAACGTGGCATTTTTACCTTGAAGTTCGAATCCATACCTTTTGGTATCATAAGAATTTGTATCACAGCCCTTTGGGCATATCAAGATCCGTCGGACTGTGGAAGTCACACAAGACGTCCGCCGCTGGTATGAATGTGAGGGAGAGCGATCGTCCTCAGTAGCTCGGCAGGTTGGACGACAATCCCTGTAGCGGGATTCGAGTCCGTCCCCGGGTGTGCATTTTGGTTCGTTCGTGCTGTACTTAGGAGCCTATTTAAAAAAAACAAGTTCCTTGAACCCAAAGCCAAGGTGGCTGGGAAATAAATAGGTGCAGATGACGCACTGTTATATGAAAACGGAGAGTGTAAATAACGGTTATTTGGCTACAGATCAGGAGCACCAACTCCAAGCTTTGCAATGGGTGAATCCGAAAGTTTCATCGTTGGATTTGTCAGACGGAAAAGATGAGAAAATTCTAGAGTTCGGGTCACCTCGTTGGACTTGATGGCCTCTGAACAGTTGTCAAAACATTGTATTTAGTCTACGAGTGGTGGTTGTGTGACGTGGCCTCACTTGAGTGTGACCGCGTTCCCATGAGACGCCGCAGGTTCGAATCCCACAGCGTTCGGAGTGATACACGTTGCTAGTGTTTCCAACCAAACAGGTGGGTAGTGCTATTAATGCGCGTTCCCCTGAGCTCTAGGATATATGTACTATTTGAAGCGCTTGGAGTTGTTGTCACTAACTGTTCTCTCGAAGTAAAAGTGCATTCGTTAGTCTTTGCAGACATGTCCAGGACATGCTTGTTTACGCGCTTTAAATGTACCAAGATCGATAATCAATGGCATACTTACGTCGCGCCAAAGAAGATGTTCCTCGTCGAGTAGTATTCGCATTAGTTCTGGAATCGCCAATGCAGGGTGCGTGTCATTGATGTGGATCGCAACCTTGTACGGTAATTCGAAAAGGTCGCGATGAGGCGTGACTTCCCGAAATCTTTGAATAATGTCCTTGAAATTGACACAAGAGAAATTGAAATACATTGAAGGACAGAAATGTCCATGAGTATGAGATCATGCTGGATTTTGAAAATTGTGAATGAAATGTTACTCAATTGGGGCGTTCCAAGTAGCTGTTGAATTAAAAATGTCGGGTGCTAAGGCAACGATACATAACGAATTCAGAAAACAGGACTTATAAGCGAAGAGTACTGTCCAGTGATGACCGTTGATACTTTCTCTACCCTTGAGTAGCTGCCATAAGGGACCGAATATACAGTCTGGTAAAAAGTGGAATGCGCCAATGTCCCCAGTAAACTTTCACATGCGAAAGTGACAAGCCATCTTTGTGCGGCTACCTTAGGTGGATAATCAGATTCCGTCGGGCGAGTACCAGCAGTCGTCATCTTGAATTTTCGGACACTGTTTATCGGATAATCATTAACGGTGTCTGGCTTACCGCAAGTAGGATCAGACAGTTCTTCCGCTCTTGTTCGAAGCTTTACAACGGCGCTATCCGTCAGCCGTGGTCTATTTCGAAAGCCTGCTCTGTAGAAGGCCTAAAACTAAACAGGTGGTCTCTCTTGGAAGGTTAGTATATTTTCCATTTCATTGGTGTTTTTTGTACATTCCTGCATTTAGAGTTTGGCGCGCAATATAGCAGGCCATGAAAGACTTGTCAGCACATTCGACGGTCTGGACGAAAGAACTGCTAACGAGAATGCCACACTCTAACAAATATCCTTGTACATTCTCATAAAGGAAACTACTCATAAGGTTGCTGAAGACAGTCTAATCTGCGTTCAATTAGAACATAAGCTTGACGGAAACTAGGGGACTGCGCCTACCTGATGAGTCCAAAGGAGGGCGAAACCGCTCGTGGGCTGTCGAAGAGTTTTCAGCAACCTTGTGAGTAGTCTCATTTGTGAAAATATACTGCGTTATCTCGAATATTGTGCCAACCGAAACATGAGGCGACCTGCGTGTAGCACATTCAGTTGTAGAATATCACAAACGAGAGATTCGGTTGGGTCTCTCGTGAAAACCAAATTGATTTGCAAATGGGTGTACTTCTTGAATCCTTGTACATTCTTTAGTTTACAGGTTGACGGATATCAAAAAATGTCTGCTTGTCATGTCAAATATGTTTTTTCACAGTAATCTAAGGAGGTTCGATCGCATTCAGTAGAGATTTCATCCTGTCAGTGAAGTCAGTCTACGCTGAAGAGCAGAGAAGGGAGATGTTGGCGCCTCATTTTGTGTAAGTATGTGGTCATCCGTTCACTGAGTCTGGCGATTCCGTAGGAAAGATTTTGTCGGTAGTCGAAAGGACACTGTCAGCGAGGTCTATAATGATACATCAGCCGTTCACAGGCTGACTGACCTTTCAAAGACAGACGCGGCTTTTCAGTACACATTAGCTTCACTTACAGGAGGAAATCTCCAGAAAAAATGCAAATCGTCTAACACTACCCACGATTTATAAGTAGCTCAGTGGAAGAATAAACTTCGCCCGATGAGTGAAACTTCCATCTGAGAAGTCGTTGGTCGAGGAGCCAGTCAACACGTGTGATCACGTGATGTGGATCCCCTAACTGCAGGCGCTATATCCTGTCCAAGCGCAAGTTAATCACACTGCTGACCAGCCACTCGTGGCCGAACGATTAGGTGTTCAAACTACTGGCCGGGAGGTCGCGGGTTCGAGACTACTCAGTGGCGTTTCGTGAGATGCGCACTGCTGATGACTTCCAATAAGGATGAAACAGCTATACAGTGCTTCTCGGCTTTTCAGCATAGATTGCATCCACTTACAAGTCTCCACAGGAAATTTCAGTAGCTTGCAGTAGACTTCGTTCCTTGTGATCTACTCAAGAACATGTGCAGAACCCGTCTTCGTGTTCCAACTCACATGCATGTAAAATACGCAAGCGTGTATCGTTAGACAAACATAATTCTCAGTGCATTCTTTCCAAACATCCTCTGGAAAGCACATGGGGGTTTCAGTATCTGTTCTCACTTACCCGTACAGAGGCCGACACTAAAAAGTATTCTTGACGAAGCCGCAGTTGTTTTCCTTCGTAGTTATGATCGATGGGGTACAAGACTCGGGAAATGTTCTCTGCCTGATTTCTGTCGAGAACGGCCTGCAAAAAACAAGGACCACACCGGAAAGGATGAATAAATACAGAAGTATTCATTCATAAGATGAATCAAATTTTAGCATTTGGATAGCAGAGACCATTCTTGATGTCTATTTTCAGTTAGGGCCTTTTTGTCAAAAAAGGGGTTTACGTGGAACTTCTCGTGAATACAACGAGGACGGTTTTGTTCAGTCATCAAAATGAAAAGCAATAAACTCTACTTTGCATGAGGTGTCCTTTCAAACGTGCACTGGGACGATAAACTCTCAAACTCTTACGCTCATCACTAAGGGGTCGGATTAATCAACCTCTCTTTTTAAGGGACTTGTCTTTTGACACGGCTGCTCTGGTCTTTGCTGGAGAATGCCGTCATCCGACAGGACTAACCGACTCTGGTAACCAGATAAATGGCAAACACTGTATTCAGTCTTTTTTTGAAAAGACCTGGTGTGTCTGTATCCAGTTTTGTATCCAGTGTTTGTATCCAGTTCCCCCTCGGTCTGATCTGAATTAAAATATACTGGATGCAATTAGAAGACGGAACGCCCGATTTGCGCGCGAGATTTCAGTTAAACTGAAACCAGCAGACTCTTACATATGATTGGTCTCACTTTGATTGGTCACTCTAAACCAGTTCACAAAATAAAAAGGGCTTGTGGACGACAGGTAGGTAAGTGGAGAGCGGATGATGATCAAGATGGGCACACCGACCAGTGGTCACACTCCAACAGTTGGAAACGATCCGAAAACAGGAAGAATGTCTTTTGCCTCGTACTTATAAGTTTGTTGACGGAATGCACAGCCAATGAAACTGGCGTCTTGATATCCTTTCAGGTATGCACTGTCACCTAAATGTAGAAGTCATTCCACTACCGGTTTGCAACAGGAATCGTCAGTTTATGCCGGAACACAACTGAGGAGCAGAGCGATCATACGATGGCGGTCTCCCGGATGTTGGAGAACCGGATGTGAGTGGAATAAGTCATTCTCCATTCCTCAGCGCGATTCAGGATTGTGCCCCGGTGTGATCCACGAAGTTTCCGTGGATTCGCTAATTCCGAGCGGTAAACCGTTCGCCTTTTACCACATGGTCGATGACCTGTTCTGCGTTCCACGCAAACATAGTGATAAAACACCAGTAATGTCATGGAAACATGTAAGACCGTTGAGGACAAAAGAACCACAAAGCTCGTGAATGAGCGAGAATCCAGAGTGGAGACTCACAGAAAAGGTGGGGGAACCTAACTCTAACAGGTCGGGCCTCTTTAAAAAAACCGAGAGACCGAAGTGGACAGGGGACTACTGAAAAAAGAAAGCTATCTTATTGTGCGGATTACATATAAGCAAATAGGACCTTTAAGAGGAGATTAGTTGCCTCATATAGCAAATCATAACCACTAGATAAATGTGAAGAAATTATAACAAGGTGCAGTATAAAATGGAAACGGATCCGTGGTTTGAAAGCTAAAATAGGAGTTACTAGAATGGCCAATCAGATTCAAGGGAGGTAGAGCACAACGCAACACAAGTCCCTAACAACACAATAGGAACAGTGAGATAAAGGTAAGTCAATAAACTAATGTAATGCAAGAAAGACAAATTGCAAAGCAGAGTGGTGAGGGGAAACTACCCACCCAAATGTGTACTGACAATGTCATCTCCATCGGTTGTAGAACAAGTACCGGCCAAATGTCAAAGTTGGCGAACAGCTCAACAGCCACGGGATCAATCGATAGTCAAGGCTTCCAAGCCACCATCAGTTCGACATCTTGACAGGTGTATGTCAGCCCAGAGTCCTTCTAATCGAACTACACCACCTAAATTTTATCTTCACATCCTATTTCTTTTGCTGGAATCGTCGAAAGGCATGAGTTTACCCAGTATACAGACGATATTGACTCACAATACCTGGATGTGCTCGTAGACGTGACTAGAAATCCAGATTAACCACCACAAAACTTAAAGCTCTATGGTGTGTCTCAAGATTCGCCGCGTTGCGCGCACGCACGGACATCTTAGCTGTCAGGCCCAAGGCCACCCGACGGAGGTAGAGCTCAAGTGTGTGGGATTCCAGATGCCTTAAAAAGCACCGGCTCCAACGGGGGTGGGCAGGAGAGCCAAAATTTCACAAGCTCTTAATTCCGTTTTGGAGTTGTGGGTATCACAGGAGAACTTATTGATTTTCAACAGACTCATTTCAAAAGCCTCACCGATTACTTTATTAAACTGCTGAGTATATTTAGTATGATGTCTTCGTGTATCTGCTCCAAAACGACTTCACTGATCAGATGTTTTCGTTAGGTTCCACATTTTATTGACGTGATGAGCTGCCGACTGAGAGCTGGCGGGATGAAAAGTCTGAAACGTTTGAACAGAATCCTTACATAGCTGAGGCAAGGCTCAGAGTGGACAGAATAGACTGCTTTTGCGTATACAATCAACATGGCCCTAATACGTTTATTGCGAGAGTTGAGTAATCGTTATCGCCACGCGTTGCAGCGGGTTGTCTCAACGAGACGCCGAAATAAGCTAACATCTGTTACCAGATCGGACGTCTAAATCCAAGCCTTCTATCAGGGAGGTCAGCTTCCTGAAAGCAACCACTGAATGCCCGAAATCTACCGAGACTCTCAGGTCCGCTAGATGTTAGCCAGATAGACAACGCCCCCGCAATATGCAGCACGTCGCAGCCAGACCGTGTGCGTCAGCATTGGATCAAGTTCAGACAGTGTCCTTCCAATAAAAAGCTTAAGGCCGTTGTACTTTTCACACTCACGCGCACTCACGCGCACTCACGCTCTCGCACCCGCTTTGTTGTAATATAGCAATTGTGTTCCCTTTCGGTGAGTCTTTTCTCTCCGACACTAGGCACTGGAGCGGGTCAGCAGCAGATACCACAGGCCGACGAATCAGCAGATATAACACCTTCTTTGTGGTTTCGAGGAAACTGGGATAGAGAATTAGTCTCGGAAACATCATCTGCATGGGACTGCAGTGTGAGGAAGTGATGCAGAGAGCTTTCAAGATGAAACTGACGGAAGGGATTCATAGAAATTTGATATGAAACCCTCAAGTAACATCAGAATGTTGCAGCATACACTTTCTTTTCGTTTTTTTCATCAAGTTTGGCTTTGAATCGCCAATGAAACATGTGTAACCTTGCAGTTTTTATTTTAGAGTACCAATCAGTCTACACAAAGCTTGGTAGCAGACAGTCAATCAGAATAACGGCTTAAACCTGTACCTATTGATTTCATACTTCAGAAGAACGTCAAATGTTTGAAGAGTTTCGCTAGTCCTGCACACATGCTTAATTCCAAACATAATAAGTCACATGGTTGATGTGTGAAGATCTACGTAGCAAGGATTGCTACTAGCTACATTGGGTTGACAAGCTTCCACAACTTCGTCAAGAAGGGGATACCACTGGATTCTGATCACTTCGTCTGATCACTTCAGCCTCTGTTTGATCTGTGTAGTTTTGCAGGGGGGGGGGGGAATTCAACTCATGAGTAACGGATGCGTCTGTTTGACCGCACCGGGAACAAAAATCCAGAAAACGTGACATACAATTCGAATGTTACATTACCTCGGCTGAGCAGAAACACGTGTTCGAGCTTCATCAGTATATCTGGTTTCATGGAATTTCCAGAAGATACGCATGGTGTAGGCCTCAATTCGTTATAATACATGATCGCAGCATGCACGTTTGAAACAAGATTGTAGCAGCTAATTCTAAACTTGTCGGCTTGAAAACAGATGAAGTGCTAGTGCAAATGTTTATCAGAGCAGCCCTCTAACTCAGTGATACAACTTGAGACCGATCCAACGAGCAGACAATGTCCCACCAATTGAAACTGTCATCGCGCTAGAAAGTTTTAACATGAAGTCTATCGATCGGCGTAACCAGGGAAATCGTTCCACTTTCATCTTGTGAGGAGTCAGGCAGACCATATATGATGCTCAATCTGAAAATTCAATTTTGATCCCTTTTGAATCCCACCATGCCTTGATGAATCACTGGCTTTGTTCGGTTTTGGGCACCCTTGATGAACTTCCGTACGTGTGGACTTTAGTTATATTGCTTCCAATTGTTTGGGGACAAAACCGATCATACATGCTAAGAAAAGCCAAAAAAAGTTTGTAGAATCCAACAAACACCCGACAAAATCAATGTTAGCGGTTCTCAGAAAACATTGTCCCTCAGAGGGACGGTATGTAAGCAACCGTATCTCCTGAGGGTATCCAGCATCCCCCTTTATAAGGGGGGACTCATGTTTGGCACTGAAAAGTCTTCGGTTGACGACAAGCAACAGGAAATAGTAGACGTAACTACCGAAAGAGAGACAAGACAAGAGACACTAGATCAGTGTTGAGTGTCAATTAACGGCTCTTGTTGGCTTGTGTGGGTGCCAAAATCTTGAATTGATGGCTTGGAGGAGTTCCAACTTAGTTCCGATCGCTTTTCGTTCCTCAGTCTTTCACTCCAGGGTGCTTCACTTGATGATTCATCTCGGGTGCCACTGGTAGATTTTCCCTGGTCTTTGTGGGGTTGTGAGTGCTCCGACAATTTAGTTTGAGGGG